TGCATTTTGTACTAACTGTAGCTTGTTTATTGAGGATGCAGGACAACCGGCTAATAAAGCATTACAGTAATCTAGCCTCGAGGTCATGAATGCATGAACTAAGTTTTCTGCATCAGAAACATAGCATGTGACGTAGCTTAGCAATGTTTCTAAGGTGGAAAAAGGCTGTTCTTGTAACATATGAAATATGATTTTCGAAAGACAAGTTGCACTCTAGTATAACACCCAGGTCTTTTACTGTAGTGGATAAAGTAACAGGACATCCGTCTATATTAAAGTTGTATTGTGAGAGGTTTTGTGAGTAGTTTTTTGGACCAATAAGTAATACCTCCGTTTTATCTGAATTTAATAGTAATTTAATAGACTATGGAGTACCGCAAGGATCGGTTTTAGGCCCTCTGCTATTCTCAATATACTGTATATGCTGCCACTTGGTAATATTATAAGAAAACATGGAATTAATTTCCACTGTTACGCTGACGACACTCAATTATATATTTCATCACGACCAAATTAAATCCAAGAGTATTTTATGATCTATAGTGTCGAACGCAGCGCTAAGATCAAGTAGGACTAGTATTGAGATACAGCCTTGGTCAGAAGCTAAAAGTCATTTGTAATTTTAACTAGCGCAGTTTCTGTACTATGATGCGGCCTGAATCCTGACTGGAATTTTTCATAGATATCATTTTCTTGCAAAAAAGAGCACAATTGAGCGGACACTACTTTTTCAAGTATTTTGGACATAAATGGAAGATTTGAAATGGGTCTGTAATTTGCTAAGTTATTTGGATCTAATTGCGGTTTCTTAATGAGAGGTTTTATTACTGCCAGCTTGAATATTGTTGGAACAAAAATACCTAAAGATAAAGACGAGTTAATAATATTGAGGAGCGGCTCTTCCACTACAGGTAATAGTTCTTTCAGTAGTTTAGTGGGCATTGGATCTAATAAACATGTTGTTGGTTTCCCAGACAGCAAACTGACATTGAATCAACGTGGAAACGACGTCTCTCATGACATTGAAACAACGTTGATTTTGCTCATGGAATTAACGTTGAACCAACGTCAGACGCGGCATTCTTCAAAGCTAAATGAAAATCGAAAATTGGTTTGCTTTCATAACGTTGAAACAACGCGTTTATTTCAAGTTGATTTTCCGTTAGTTTTGAAAGAATGACGCGTCTGACGTTGGTTCAACGTTAATTCCATGAGCAAACAATGTCAGATCAACGTCGTTTCGATGTCATATTTCCACGTTGATTCAATGTCAGTTTGCTATCTGGGTTAGAAGCAATGATAAGTTTATTTAACTCTTCCTGTCCTATCGTTGTAAAGCGGTGTAGTTGTTCTAGAGGGGCCATAATTGAAGCTGAATCATAAGACACCATAGAGGATTGTACATTTATAATTGTGTTTTGGATGCTTTCTATTTTCTCATTGAAGTAATTCATAAAATCATTACTACTAAACTGTAACGGTATATTTTGCTCTGGTGATGTCTGTTATTTGTTCGTCTAGCCGCGGTGTTAAATAAAAACCTTGGATTATTTTGGTTATTTTCGATTAGTTTGCGGAGATGCTCAGCCCTGGCTGTTTTTAGGGCCTTTTTATAACGTGACATGCTGTCTTTCCACGCGATTCTAAAGACCTCTAAATTAGTTTGTTTCCATTTACGCTCTAACTTACGGGTTTCTCTCTTGATAGCATGCGTAGCACTGTTGTACCATGGTGCTTTAGTTTTCTTTCTAACCTTTTTTAATTTGATTGGTGCAACAATATCTAATGTACTAGTGAAAATGGTGCTTAAACTGCTAGTCATTTCCTTTAATTCATCTGTTTGTTTGGGTTCACTTAGCAGCTTAGATAGATCAGGTAAGCTATTTGAGAATCCATCTATAGTGGTTGGAAGGATTGTTCTGCCTGGTCTATAACGTGGCGCAACATGACATATTTCAACACAGTCTCATGAAGATGCGTATCTATACCACGAGTGTCATTTCTCGTGGCATTTATACGCCAAAAGTGTTTTTTTCGTGTATATGGTACACACTAAAAAACCCTGGGTTAGGTTTAGGGGGGAGGGGGGTGGGGAGTTCGTGTGTATTATATGCAAAAAAGTGCGTATCATATGTACGCGAAAATCGCGTGCCAAATACACGCAAAAACTGTTTTTGGCGTATAAATGCCACGAGAAATGACATTCGTGCCATAGACACGAACTTTCATGAGATCGGGCTGCATATTTCAGCAGTACGTATTATGCAAGTCACCATGTAATGATCAGTGACATCATCGCTTTGCGGTATAATATCTATATCAGTTGGATCGGTTCCATATGATATAATTAAATCGAGTGTATGATTTAGACGATGAGTGGGACCACTGACGGTTTGTTTGACCCCAAAGGAGTTCAATAAGTCTGTAAACGCAGCCCCTAAAGCATCATTTGTATTATCTACGTGTATGTTAAAATCTCCAGCAATTATTGCTTTATCGACATTTACCAATTCAGCATATGGCCCTGGAGGTCTATATACAGTAGCCAAGGCTAGAGATAATATGGATTTCCTTCTTACATTTAAAAGCGTAACATTTAGCACAAGTACTTCAAATGAATTAAACCTGTGACCTGTTTTCTGAGTAATATTAAAAATATCTTTATAGATTGTTGCAGCACCGCCGCCACGACCGATCAGACGAGGCTCATGTTTATAACAGTATCCTGGCGGAGTAGATTCATTTAGACCGAAATACTCATGCTTGTGTATGCTTGTAAGATGTGTATGCTTACATGGTGAGTTGAAATACACATTGTAGTTAAATTATTTATTCATTCATTATTATTTATAATGAAGTGATAATATACAGCACACATATTTGCAGTATAATGTCTGACAGCAGTGACAAGACAGGGAAGAGTGTATTCCTACGGTGAGAGACGTTTTTTTTTTTTAATTCATGAAAAGTTATGAAAATAACATTATAATAATGACTCTGACATAGTTTAAAACATCTCTGACCACAGAAAATGAATCAGGAAAACAAGTTTCAATATAGCACAGAAGTCTCAATAGCTTTCATACCAGTCTTTCCAAATAAAAGCTTTGCATCATAAAATCATAGAATTATGTTGTTGTCATTTCTTTGAATGCAAACTCCACGACCCACTCTTTTGGAAGCAACTCCATATTTTGTTCATATCACACCATTTACTTGAATTTATTTGACATGAAAATATATGGCAAGCAGTTTTAGCTTAAATTGCACCCAGCCTTACTACGTATGTATTTAATGATGCACACATATCATTTAAAACCTTTTTCATTTTATGGAGTCAGATGAAACGAGTTAATACATAAGATAAAATGTATTGTATTTAATTAAAACACGCAACACGCGCGAGACCTTCACCTCTGATCGAGTAACGTCATTGGATCGATTTAGCAGGCCTTACAACAGTGTAAACTAAAGTTTTATAATCACTTTTAATAAGAGTTAACTGAAAACACTTTAAAAATTGTTATATAATTACTTATAAAATAACTATAATTAATTGTACTAACATACAATACTAATTGTGGGGAGTCATTTTTCTGCCTTTTTTCTTTAGACCAAAAAAAAAAAAGAAATTTCGGCCAATTATTTTCGGGTTTAATGATATAGTTAACAAATTTGCTAATGTTACAATTAAAAAATGAATCAAATTCAGGGAAATTTTTTTTTTCCCATTTATGAACATATACCTGACTGTTGCTTTTCTGCATTTATTTCCAGTCTTTTCATTTTGGTATTTTTTATTTTCTTTGAGTAAGTGTTCAATTAAAATCATTTTCAATCATTTTCTTGTTCTCCAACATATAAAACACAAATCTCGCGGAATTTCACAGCAACACTAGTTTATTAGTTAACTAACTACACACATTCACTTAATGTCAATCTAACAAAACATTTGCTCACTGTGACACAGAACAATGCTTTCTAATATGAGTCACTAGATTACTTGATTGGGTGAAACTCTTTCCACACTGAATACATGTATACGGCTTCTCTCCAGTGTGAACTCGCTCGTGTTCTTTCAGGTTTCCAGACCGAGTGAAACTCTTGTCACAATATGAGCACTTGTAAGGTTTTTCTCCAGTATGAATTCTTTGGTGCTGTTTCAGATCAACAGATGTAGTAAATCTCTTCCCACAGTCAAAGCACATTTAATCTCTCACTTCATTGTGTGTTTTCTGGTGCCGTTTAAAACTGTCCAGCCATGAAAAACTCTTTCCACAGAGAGAACACACATAAGGCTTCTCATCTGAATGAACTTTCAGGTGTTGGTTTAGATTTGCTGATGAAATAAATTCTTTATCACACTGATCACAGTTAAATGGCTTTTCTCCAGAGTGACGGAGCAGATGAACACTGAGATTTGATGAATGAGAAAAACTCTTTCCACACTGAGTGCATATATACGGTTTCTCTCCAGTATGAATTCTCACGTGTGTGTTAAGGTGTCCTTTCCATGAGAAACTCTTTCCACACTGAGTGCATGTATATGGTTTCTCTCCAGTGTGAATTCTCATGTGTGTGTTAAAGTGTACTTTCTGTGAGAAACTCTTTCCACACTGAGTGCATGAGTACGGTTTCTCTCCAGTGTGAATTCTCATGTGTGTGTTAAGGTCTCCTTTCCATGAGAAACTCTTTCCACACTGAGTGCATGTATATGGTTTCTCTCCAGTGTGAATTCTCATGTGTGTGTTAAGGTTTCCTTTATGTGTGAAACTCTTTCCACACTGAGTGCATGTATACGGTTTCTCTCCAGTGTGAATTCTCATGTGTGTGTTAAGGTGTACTTTCTGTGAGAAACTCTTTCCACACTGAGTGCATGTATTCGGTTTCTTTGCAGCGTGAATACTCATGTGTGTGTTAAGGTGTCCTTTATGTGTGAAACTCTTTCCACACTGAGTGCAGGTGTGTGTCTTTTTGGCTTTTGTTCTTTGAATTGTAAAGTTACGATGTTCCTCCTCCACTTCATTCAGTTCTTGTCTTTGCTCTTTCACTCTCACCTGGTCTAAAATACACATAAATACAGTTAGAATCAGTTCAAATGAACCCTTATTTAATAGCAGAAAATAACAGAGATCAGAACTTTCACTTTTTGTTTTATTATTCACTTGTTAATATATGTTAGACAACTGCTAAATGGTTATGACCCTTTGGATGTATATCATGTATCATCCATATACTGTTTATTCAATCACATCTACCAAAGCATCAACAATGAAGAATCAAGAATGGACACCAACCTATTTGTTCCTCGGTATCTTCATGTTTTATTCTGGATGGTTCTGGATCACTCATGTCTTCAATCTCCTCTTTAATAAACTCCATCTTTAACAGTCACACAGATTTCAGCTGCTACTCCTGGAGTTTGTCCTTCTCTTATAGGATGTTGGGAATATTCCCAGTGTTTATTGGTGAATTGTTGTGGGAGGGGCTTCACTGCAGGTGTGAACTGTGATCACTGTGTTTTTACCCAATCTGCATTTAAAAAGTACAGGACCATCATGTTAAACTGAGCAGCTAAAAAAAACTCTTTGTCTCCAAAAGTTCCCTGTTTTCAGCTCATTCATTATGGTGATCTCTGAGATCTTCTGTAAATTGGCACATTAAATAGTTTTATTGGTGTCAACAGACTGAAACAAACTACAGCATCACCTTTCACTTCAGTTCTTGTCTTTGCTCTTTCACTTCCATCGAGTCTGAATCATTAAAACATTATGTTTTAGACATGCCGACTCTGCTTATTTTTCAAACCTATTAGAAGAAAATAAACATAATCTTAGATATCTATTTGAAACAGTGGCTAAACTAACGAAAAAGAAAGCTTCAAGCCCAGAAGTGTCCAACACAGCAGTAATGACTTTATGAATTTCTTCACTTATAAGATTGATAATATCAGGGACAAAATTATAACTATGCAACTGTCTTCTACAGTATAGCATCAGCATTTTGCAAACTCGTTATCATCTAAATCAACAACTTGTATGCTAGACCCTATACCAACTAAACTACTGAAAGAGATGCTTCCAGAGGTCAGATCCTTTTCTTAATATCGTTAATTTGTCTTTGTCGCTAGGATACGTACCAAAAACCTTTAAGCTGGCTATGATAAAACCGCTTGTTAAAAAAACACAACTTGATCCTATAGAATTAGTTAATTACAGGCCAACTTCGAATCTTCGAAGCAGTATCCTCGTATCCAGTATCCAGTATCCTAGAAATGATATCTGCATGGATTTTCAGTCAGGATTTAGATCGTACCATATAGTACTGAGACAGCTCTCATTAGAGTCACAGAGGATCTGCTCTTATTTTCCGATCGTGGTTGTATCTCTCTATTAGTGTTACTCGATCTTAGTGCTGCATTTGACACAATTGACTGCAACATAATTCATCATTTTTATGGACAGAATTTCTAGGCGCAGCCAGGGGCCGGAGGGTGTCAGGTTTGGTGACCACACGATTTCGTCTCTGCTCTTCGCGGATGATGTTGTCGTGTTGGCCCCTTCATACCAGGACCTTCAGCGTGCACTGGGACGGTTTGCAGCCGAGTGTGAAGCGGCTGGGATGAAAATAAGCACCTCCAAATCCGAGGCCATGGTCCTCAGCCGGAAAACGGTGGCTTACCCTCTTCAGGTTGGTGGAGAGATCCTTCCTGAAGTGGAGGAGTTTAAGTATCTTGGGGTTTTGTTCACGAGTGAGGGAAGGATGGAACGGGAGATTGACAGACGGATCGGTGCAGCTTCAGCAGTAATGCGGTCGATGTACCGGTCTGTTGTGGTGAAGAAGGAGCTGAGCCGTAAGACAAAGCTCTCGATTTACCGGTCAATCTACATTCCTACTCTTGCCTATGGTCATGAGCTTTGGGTCATGACCGAAAGGACAAGATCCCGGACACAGGCGGCTGAAATGAGCTTTCTCCGCAGGGTGGCTGGGCGATCCCTTAGAGATAGGGTGAGAAGCTCGGTCACTCGGGAGGAGCTCAGAGTAGAAAATAAGCTAGAGAAAGAGAGCTCCAGTGGGAGCAGAGTAGACATCACTGCTGGGGCAGTGTAGAAAATTAGCCAGAAAAACAGAGCTACTGTGGGAGCAGAGTAGACATCACTGCTATGGCAGTGTAAAAAATTAGCCAGAGAAACAGAGCACCTATGGGAGCAGAGTAGACGTCACTGCTGGGGCGGAGTAGAAAATTATCCAGAGAAACAGAGCTCCAGTGGGAGCAGAGTAGACGTCACTGCTGGGGCGGAGTAGAAAATTATCCAGAGAAACAGAGCTCCAGTGGGAGCAGAGTAGACGTCACTTCTGGGGCAGTGTAGAAAATTAGCCAGAGAAACAGAGCTCCAGTGGGAGCAGAGTAGACGTCACTTCTGGGGCAGTGTAGAAAATTAGCCAGAGAAACAGAGCTCCATTGGGAGCAGAGTAGACGTCACTGCTGGGGCAAAATAGAAAATTAGCCAGAGAAACAGAGCTCCAGTGGGAGCAGAGTAGACGTCACTGCTGGGGCAGTGCAGAAACGTACCTGTGCAAATTGAGCTGTGGTGTGAAGCCGAGCAAAGGGGGAAGTAGATTGGGGCCTGGCTGGCCGATGATCATCAGGGATGTGATTTTTCCGGATTAATCCGGAATTCCGGATTTTCCGACCTGAAAATGTGACCCACGTGAATCATGCAGATCTGTAAAAAAAAAAAAAACGGGGGGTGGGGGGTGTCGGGTGTCGGCAGCCGGAGTGAAAAGGAGAGAATATGAGGACATAACCCACAACTGGCTGACGTGCGTACGGAAGGTTCCTTTCAAAGTATCAACAAGGACGTATTTGCGTTCAGCCAGAGAATGTCTATTTGGTTCAGCTTGTTCACCTGCTCAATTTCGTATCTCTAGTCGCTCTCGCGCTGGTATCGTTGTCAGTTGACAAGAACATCACAGTTAGGTCACCAGGGCTGGGCGATATATCGATATATTTCAAATTTGCGCTATCCTTGCTCCAAGCAAGCTGCAGACTGCAGCTATCGTGCATTCTGTCAGTTGCAGTCCTGACACCTCCGTCTCAACAGCATACAACGCGTATCTTAGTGTACAACGCGACAAATACTCGAGTCGCAGAGGAACGGCTACATCAGTTCAGCGAGTTCACAAAAGTTAATTTGCATCTGCTTTAAAGCCTTGCCGGTTAAACATGTCATTCACTGCTAATGCGCTGTTCTGAGCGCGAACACCCGACGTGCACATGCACTAAAAGCTTGTAACAGCGCCTGGTTGCTGGACTAAGTTATCTTTCGAGTAGTATTATTTCGCTAATACTCTCAAATATACACAAGGTTTACATAAGAACGTTTGGTTATGTCCAGGGGTTAAAGTGGTCCGGAACTGCGGTCCGGCACCTCAGATAAATAAATAAATAAATAAATAGATTAATTAATCTCAACGAATCTTGCTTCTCCCGATATGGACCAACTTCCCTTCCTCCCGCTGAACGCGAGCGATAAACACAAAGTATAAACTATATAAAGTATAAACTGTATAAAGTATAACAGCATAAAGTATAAACTATATAAAGTAGCTATAAAGGCCTCGTCCGTTTGGAGAGGTGCGCGCGGAGCTCCGCGCTCGTGCGGACGCGTCTAGTTATACACAAGGCTTTACAAATGCTTGAAATGCACTTGCGGTGGTTGAGCGCGGTAAAGTTAGTTTTAGGTCCGAAATATTTCGCCTGACATTTGTTTTCCCTATAGCCTCTGTAGGGTCTTACAAAGAGATCAATAGCAGGATTAGTTTTAACAAACCATTGTATATTCGA